CTGGATGGGTTACAGTCAACCTAATGAATCATGTTTCCAGCCTGAGAGCACCTTTAGATGTCTATTTGGTCCTGGAAGATCAGTTGCGCTTTGCTGCATGGAATGTCCAGGACTGACTTGTTGATGGGAAAAATTACTTTAATGCATTATATAGCCTTTGAAGTCTGCTTCGAAACTGCAGTTAGATCCACATATATACGGTATACTTGTGGAACTCCCTTTCCACTGTCTTATTCTTTTGGTGCCAAGTGAATATGGTTCTATTCTCAGAAATTTTAATGTATTAGTTTTAAATTTTGTAAGTTATTATATTTTACTCTTATTTTTGTATATTCTTGCTTTCATAAGCTATCCTGAAAAACTTTCTAAAGAGTTCTTTCATTGGTTGTGACCCACCCAGAGTAGTGGCTTGCCACTAGATGGCTGGCATACAAATGCAATAGACAAACTGTACTTTATTTTAAAAAATAAAATCTTATTTATGCCTATTTTCAATAGATTTTAAAAGCTGGTTAATAAAAATGTATTATTTCAATGAAGAATCGGTTTAGAATGCATCTAAATTTAATCTGAAACAGTCTATAAAATCAATTGATTTTACACATTAAGATTATTGGTTATTAGGATTAAACAAGACTAGAGAGTTCTACTTAGACTTACTTCCTGTAAACAGCCTTCTCCTTCCAATTAAGTACTATATAAAATGTCATTTTTTAAATTTTTGATATAAAGAGGAATAAAATTGGTTCCACTATAAGAAAAAATACCATTAAAGAAGATTGTCTAAAATTATGTTATTGTCTGCTCAACGAATTTCTGAATACAGGATAGGGCAGACATTTTAATTAATGAATAAAATTACTTTTAAATGTTGTAAATGTCCCAATTTTGTCAATTACCCTTGCTAATGCAATAATGCTGGACATAGAATATGTGCTTTATTAGAATGTGTGAACTATGTTTTCTAAGAATTTTGTGTTCAGCACAGAAGGAAACATTCCACCATTAGAAGCAGCAGTATTATCAAGCCATTTTTAACATTTCTGGGTGCACAGTTTGGAAAAGAGCACAGAATAAATATATCAGGTCATTTCACACATGTTTCAGAACGGTGAAGAGTGCTCTACAAATGCAATAGTAATGGGTACAAAATTGCCTATAGCAGTGGTCCCCAACCTTGGGCAGTAATGGGTACAAAATTGCCTATAGCACAACTGATTGCAGATGTGCATTTTTGGGGGGATATTCTTTCAGATCAAAAGCTCCCAGCAAGAAAATCAAAACTGCACATAATCTGATTTCCAGACCCTTTACTATCTTGTTTGCCCACCTCCAGACACATTCCAGCTTCTCAATATCCTTCTTCCACGGGGGACAGAAGGTATCTGTCACTTAGGAGGCTAGAAAACTCAAATCAGGCAGCCTCCCACGTATGTCTGTTTCTTATCTTGGAGACCTAGAGCAGCAATAGCCTGTGAGATTCAACATTTAATTTTCTAGATTAAATTTTAAAGATTAAATAGCCTGTTTTTCGAAGACTACTTTACTTGTGTGTAGTCACTATGTACCCTCCTGTGAACCAGAAGACTCATGGATTTCTAGAGAACAGACATAAAGCATATAAAAATACACCCTCTCTGAACCAAGTAACGCACATGATTAAAAGTTGGGAGGGATTTAAGTAATCCACAGCATAGCTGTTAAATAAACTGGAAGCAACTGTACTCAAATTTTGGATGTACTGTAGTTGCTGTGGGAAGCATGACCATCAGTCCTTGAGGAGAAAACACTGAATATGATTGCCTAATCCCCTGGTCACCAGGATCAGTTCAGGTGGAGATGATAAGAGATTTCCTTTAGTACCGTAGATTAATATTTGAGGCAACCACTTGCTTTCAAATGTTGGTACTTAGACCCTTCATCCATCCCTGCTTGCAGAAAGCTGTGGACTTTTTATATCTCATCTTGAGGAGAAATAACTCCTACAAAGCTGTTAGATGGAAGAGATACACAAGGGCACAAAGGAAGTCCCTTCTTCTGACAGTCTCCATGATTCCCATACAGAACTGAGTAAATTCAGAAACCATGGCGGCCATACAAATGTGAGATTATAAGAGTAACCTCTGCTGATATTATCTGGTAGACGGCTATGGGAAGGCATGCTATTAGAAAGAAGGTGTTGGACTGGAAGAATAGCATCCCTTGTCTGCCCTAGTGGAAGGAAAAATAACACTGGACATTCTGCTGACCACCACTGTTGTTGCTCGTTTCCCTCTTGTGCTATGAGCCCAGCACGAGTGAATCAAGCAACCACGTGCAGATTTACAATCCAGCAAGGGCCACCTGGAGTTGTGGACACTTGCTAAAGGCAACAACAGGGGTGGGGGAGAATGTGCTGCCAGAAGAGGTAAAGTAAAAGAAAGAACAAAGATAAATATTCAGACCTTAAAAAATACAACATGAACTAGGCTGTTAAGACCACCAGATCAGCACAGCTCATGAGGCAGAGCACAGGATAGCTTTTTTCTCCTGAAGGAAAAACAACTGGCCCTGTCTACATGCTTCAAGGGGAGGTACAGGACTATCTGTGAGATTCCAGAGAAAATATTACTTTTAGAAATATCTCAAAATAGCATCCTAAGAGTGTATATTATATAGACAAATGATATCCACACAAGACTGTCCAATGGCTATATAATGCATTTCCTAGTGACCTTCAAATAATAACTAGAAATGAAAATATTATATATTTAGGTCCTTATGTTATATTTAAAAAATAAGTTTTAGCACCAAAGGAAATTGCAAAATATATACATGCAAGAGAAGTTATAAAGAACATTGTTTTAAGGAACAAAATTAAAGTTCCTGACCATTTTCTTTGTATCCCATTCCTAGGATAACTTCTGGTGCTCTGTAGTAACGAGTCACTACATAAGGTGTCATCATAAAGCTGGTTCCTGCTGTTCTGGCCAGCCCGAAGTCAAGAATCTTCAAAGTGCAGTCAGATTTTACTACTATATTACTAGGTTTCAAATCCTTAAGGAAAAAAAAACAGAGTGAGAAAGCATGACTATCAAATTTGAGTATCAAGCACCACAGCAGAAGCTATGCAATCACTGAAAAAGGTATTTGCCAACATGCAGAAAAAATACTTCCACAAAGCAAACACTTACACAAGTGTTTTTCCTTGTAAAAGTGGCCAGCAAAACTACAATTCTTTTAAGGCTGGATGAGTTCTGATAGGAAATAATCCAATACACTATTTGAGTTGCATTAATCAGCTGTAATTAAGTTTTTAGTTAACCCCCCCAAAAAAACAAAAAACAAAACCCTAGATTTCTTATGCATGTCACATTGGAGACATTTTTAGATGAGCTGAATATAGCAGCTCCCAGACGGTCAACACAGAAATCCCAAACTGACAAAATAAATGATTTCAATCAAATGTCAACATTAAATTCCATTAACACACAGCATGCAGAATTACCATTACTGTATATGCTATTAAGTATGATCTTTCATAAGATGTGCTAGTAAATAGTAGTGATTGCGATACATAAAAAGATGGTGCACAACTGGGACTACAGAAGCAGCACTGAGCTTTGATATTTCAAAGAATCTATCTAAAATGTTTGTAGCAATTTTCTACCTCTGGAGGCAAACTGAATGCTCACAGAAGGGAAGTAATTTGAATGAGCAGAAAGCTTCACAAGGAGATTTTTGAAACAGATGTTTTATTCCTACAATACAGTGATATAGAGCCTACTAAGTCACTGATTTCAAGAATGATGAAATGCATAATCCGTTGCTTTACCACAATGAGTGACAGCTTAGCCTATTAACCATCTTATCATAGAAACAATGGCAAATGTTTTGGCTTGGAAAGTGATACGTATTTGTATATTAGAATTCCACAACCATAGTCCAAAATAGAACACAACAGAACAAAACACTTTCCTAAAACCTGCTTCTTTTCTAGCACAAACATTCAGCCTCAACTGGAAGAATATCAGCTTCTCAGTACAGCCAATTTACTATAGTCTTGGTGAAACAGTATTGAGGAAAAATCTGAATATTTTAGAGATTTTAAAAAGTTGAGAAGTAATGCAAAATATTCATTAATACTCTACCCTGTTTTCCTGAAAATAAGACTTAACCTGAAAATAAGACCTGGTATGTCATTGAAGCTACCAACATGACTTTGACCAAACTCCAGGAGGCAGTGGAAGACAGGAGGGCCTGGCGTACTCTGGTCCATGGGGTCACTAAGCATCAGATATGACTTAAAGACTAAACAACAATGATTTTTCAGGATGCTCATAATACAAGCCCTACCCCCAAAATAAGCCCTAGTTAAGTGAAACCCCACCCTCCACCTTTGTGCAGCAACCCAAAATGACACGACTGTATTTGAATAAATGTAGATTGTTGTACATGGAGGGGGGGGGAAATAAAACATCCCCTGAAAATAAGCTCTACTGCATTTTTTACAGCAAAAATTTATATGAGACCCTGTCTTATTTTCGGGGAAAGATGGTAACAGAATTATGGAAAAACATAGCAAAGGCATACATTTCCTCTTCATGTTAACAGTCTCTTATTTGCTTAACAGTGAGAAGAATACACCCAGACAGACATGTTAGAGCAACTACAATAATCTCACTAACCCTATGAATAATCCCAGCTGAATGGAGATGTTTAATGCCACACAGCATCTGATAGAGAAGATAGGACATTCGTTCATGGTCAAGCTCCATCTGAATCACCTGGCAGAGATTTGCATCCATGAGTTCCATCACTATGTAACTTTGAGGGAGAGTAAAAAGTAAAATGAGATGACAGCAAGTACTTTTGATCATACCATCAAATGTGTGCTCAATAAAACGGTAACGTAAGAGGCTTGCAAAAACCACACTTACACATCTTGAAATTCTTCCAGTGATTTCTGTGGGGTAAAGACATTCAAAAGGCCAATGATCTATGGGAAGAAAGGAAGTCATAAATACTCTGAAAGAGATTTTGGTTGCCTTTTAAATGATTAAATCAGGTAACGAACGTAAGGGAACAAACAGCAAAATAGGAATACATTTTAACAGTTCAGAAGAGTTCACTGAAGTTTCCTTATGTTTTGCCAATTTAAATCTAAGCCTTGAAGGCAGCTAAATCCCTTTTTAAGAAAGGACTTAAGCTTATACTTCTGTGTGCCTACAATGAGAAACAGCAGTATCTAGAATATATCTCTCATGTATCAACTTACAAACAATGTATGTTGAGAAATACAATGAATACCCCCCATGACAAATAATGAGTAACTGCTGTTGCTTTCCTTGAAGAAATGAGCAAAAATCAAGCAGTTAAACAGTAATATGTATCACTGGAGAAACCTCTCCAATCAGCAAGATACCATGTGCAACAGATCAATAATCACATTCATTTCTCTCAGACAACACCCATTTTCCATTTATGAACTAATTGTACAAATCAGGCTCACCACCAAAAACACATACATATATTGCCCTGGCAAACTTCTGTTTCTTCAGAAGACATCATGTAGGAAATGAAGGAATGGAGTATCGCAGATAGTTGATTCACCATTCACACTTGATGCAAATTTATAACAAACCTTTACCTCAAAAATCCTTAGCTGTTCAATACTTATAATTCAGGACATTTTGCCAACCATACACTATGGGTTTGCTAATTCTTAGCCCAGAAATTTATGTTAGCTATAAACTTCCACTGCAAGTGAAAGGAAGAAGATGCCTAGTTATCTATATTGTTTTCAATATTTTGGAATGTTTTGTGGGTGCAGTGCATGTAACCAGACAGCTGCTATAATACATAGGTTATGCATTACTTTATATTGAACCCAGTGCATATCTGCACACAAGTTAAAATGGGGAGGAGGCAAGATTGCTTTTTTCAACAAGAAGTGCACCTGAAAGAGCTAAACAGAATCCCTCAACACACACACACAGCCCTGTGTCTTACTCACTATGTTCTGCTACAGTCCCATTCACTTTTGACACTAGGAAAAAAGCTGGAATATGCTTGTAGCAATGCCTCTTCTGACATACAATACACAAAAATGAAGCTGACATATAAGCACAGCTGCCCTCATCACACTGAGTTTGACACATCACTGTTTACCTTCAAAATCATTCATTAATATACTTACATTTTTGTGGTTTACACACTTCATGAGAACAAGCTCTCTGTAGGCTCTTTTTGCATGAGTTTGATTCTGAAATGGCCGACTTAGCTTCTTGATTGCAACGTTTCTTTCAAGGATAGAGTCGTAGGCTGCACTGTAAATAAATCTGAACTGCCATAACCATATTTATGAAACAATTTACAACAAAACTGAAAAGTGGAATCAGATTCAGATTCAAGACATACCCCTTAGCTATGCAAAAAGTTAACCATTTGGATCAAGACCATGATATTTGATATACTATGGCAATAAGAAATGCTAACGGGAAAAGAAAACTATTGTTTGAAGTGCATAGGATAGTCACAGACCATCTCTAGACAAAAGCAACTTCAGTGACACAAAGAAATCATGTTTTCAATAATATGTTTTGTTTTATAACATTTACAGTGGACCCTCTACTTAAGGAATTAATCCGTATTGGAATGGTGGCTGCAAGTCGAAAAGTCCGTAAGTCAAATCTCCATTGACCTATAATGCACTGAAAACTGATTAACCCCATAACCAGTGGTTTTTATTCTATTTTTATTCCATTTTGGTTTTTTTCTGGTCTGTAAGTCGATTCTCTGGCTGCAAGTCGAATCTAAATTTTGCAGCCAGAGAAGTCTGCAACTCGAAAAGTCTGTAAGTCGAGCCGTCTGTAAGTCGAGGGTCCACTGTAATTAGTTTTTCACTTTATATTGAATTTATGCTTGTTAAACATCGTGTTACATGGGATAGCTTATAATTCTCTATTTTCGCGTTTTGGTGATTTAATCAGTATACAATGTTCTCAAAATCTTCTAGCAAAATACCTAATAAAAGCAATTGTAGTTTCAAATCTACGTAGTTTTGAGGCAATTTAACCAACCAACTTTGTATTTTATACCAATAACAACTAAATAAATTCCTAACACATAATAAATGTTATCTAAAGCATTTTTTATAGTTTTTCTTTATATACCGTATTTTTCCATGTATAAAATGACACTTTTTTCCTAAAATAATTAGAGAAAAAATTGATTGTCATTTTCACGGAAGGAAGCAGTCACTTGGGCGTGCGTGCTTGGGCACCTCTTGCTGCCGCCCCCACCGCCCAATTGCCTCTTCCAGGGCTCACAGCTTGTCCCCTCTGGTGGCCCAGAGGCAACAGCAAAAGCAGCAGCAGGAGGCGGAGACAGAGTTGAAGGAGCATACACACGCACTCGGGCGTCTCTTGCTGCTGCCTCCCCCACCCGCCCAATCACCATCTCCACTGGGACTGACCGGCTCAGCTCACATCTCCGCCTTGTCCCCTCTGATAGTGGAGGCAGAAGGAGGGAGAGGCGGAGGCAAGCAAGCAAGCGCGCACGCTCGGGCGCCTCTTTCTGGTGCCGCCGCTGGATCACCTCCTCCCACGATCTCCTTAGGGAAGGGGACAAGGCAGTGACCTGAGCTGGAGGTGAGCCCCAGCAGTTGCCATGGAGGAGGTGATCGGGCGGGCAGCGGGGACAGCAGCAGCAGGAAGGGACAGAACTGGAGGAGCAGTTGCCCATTAACTGCTCCTCCACCTCCATCAAGGGTCAAAATTAGGGGGTCGTTTTATACACTGGGGGGTCGTGTACACAGAAAAATACAGTAATTGTTTAGCCATTTCCATCTCCACATTTTCTGTCATGTCTGTATCAATATCATATCTAATATATGTTAATTAAGTACCATTTTTTCCTCACCCTATGAACCACCATGTTATGCCTTTACCCTGATTACTGATCCCTTATTTCAGTTTAATTCCCTTTTCTAATATATTAGATATGTCCCCTTACAATTCCAGAAGTTAGGTGTATACATGCTTTCAACGCTGAGTGCCACCTTAATATTTTTCTTTTACATCTCTCTAAGTAACTCCTTCTCTTGTTTGTCTTTTCCCAATTCTTATTCCTATCTCTCTAAAAATTCTGTCATCCCTTATATCATCTGAGATCATTTTATGCACTTGATCTACAGTATTTCCAACTTCCAGGCTTTTTTAAATTAAATCTGCCGGATCTCTCCCTTTATGTTCCCTTAGCACACCTAAAACTCTCCTCTCCTCGTCTGCAGGGTTAGAATTAGATCTCCTAAATTTTCTCCTCTGATTTCCTCCAGTCCCTCCTTTGGTTGGCATACATCATCCACCACACTCACATTTCCTTGTTCATTGAATATAGTCCTTCCTTAACTGCTCATTTAATGATTTCGCTTCTTCAGTCCTCCAAGTCATACTAGTTTATTTAAACATCTTCATTTTTTTGTGATTCAAAACTGGTACACTGCCATCTACTACTGTAGATGCAAAGATTTCATAAAAGCCATCCGAACAACATGGAAGGTCCTCCTTTAGGAAATGTGTTCAGTTCATCACTTCCCACTTGTTTGAAATTATCTGCTTTTAAATTGCTGCCTGACAAATTTTAATTTTGGTTCATTAACTTTGTTTCTTGGTTCTTCCTGTTTGTTTTTCTAGCCAGGTCTACTGTGCAGTAAAAACACGGAAACTTTGGATAGAAGCAATCATGCAGAAAGCTAAGGGCAGTATAACACGAACTCTGGACTTTAGGAAAGATAATTTCAGCAAGCTTAAGGAAACACTGAACACATGCATCTACTCTCTTGAAGAGAATTACTGGGATACAGCAGTAGCTGAAACTGACACTGGTGGAGGAGGCAACAGCAGTGACACTCAAGACAACTTTTCCTAGTATGTGGTGCAGTCGGGGCAATGGTAGACTCCTGCTGAACTTTGCTTAATATGAAATAAAATATAGTCATGGAAATCCGTTTATTGCAAATGCACTCCTCAAACTACCAAACAGAAAGCTGTACATATGGATATCACCAGATGGTCTATATACAAACCAAAGAGATTATGTAACTAAAAGGAAGAGACAGAGAACCTGTATTCAATTCAGTGCCAAAACAAGTCCAGGAGCATACTGTGGTACTGATCACTAACTGCTAACATCCAACATGAAAGGAAAGCTGAAAAAAAAACTAAAAGAATTGTAGTGCCAAAATAAAACTTAAACAATATTCCTGACTAATTTAAAGTCCATATAAGGAACAGATTCGCATTAATAAACCCAACTAATCATGAACCAGAAGAACTGTGGATTGAAGCCAGAGATATTATGGAAGAAAACAAAAAGACAATTCCTATAGTAAAAAGGAAAGAAAAACCTAGAGGAATGAAGAAGTATTTAAAATTGTAAAGGACAAATGAGAAGCAAAGTGAAAGGTGACAAACCAGAGTTAGAACTCACACAGAGACAAAGAGAACTGCTACAACAACCAGTGCAAAGAAATAGAGAAGATTGACAAAAGGGAAAAACAAGAGATCTCTTCCAGAAGATCCAAGAATCCAAAGGGTAATTCAAAACTAGATTAGAAATGCTGAAAGATTAACTGGGAAGCACACTATTTGACCAGGAGAAAATAAAGAGAAGGTGGAAACAGTAAACTGAAAACCAATACAGAAGAGACAAAAGGATGACAAACTCCTATGATGAAGTAGTTTTGTGATGAAGAACCTGCAGTTCTATAAAGTGAAGTCGAAGTAGTCTTGTGAAGAACCTGCAGTTCTATAAAGTGAAGTGAAAGCTGCTCTGAAACCACTAAGAATAAATAAATCACTAGGGTAGATGGAATACTAATAGAACTTTTTCAAGCCAGAGAGATCGAATCTATCAAAATCCTAATATGACTATACCAACAATTATGGCAAATGAAACAATGGTCCACAGACTGGACATGTTCAGTATATATTATAATCCCCAATAAAGGAGATGTCAAGGAGTGCAGTAACTGTAGCTCTAATTTCCTCTAATTTGCTCAAGATGTTCCAACAAAGGCTATTACCTTACATTGAGCAAGAGATGCCTGATGTTCAAGTTGAATTCTGAAAAGGATGAGGCACTCAGGATCACACAGTAAATATCTGCTGGGTACTGGAATGCCCCAAAGAATGTCAGAAAATCGGTCTATGCTTTATAAACTGCAGCAAGCCTTTGACTGTGTCGATCATGAGAAACAATGAGCTGTTTTCAAAGAAATTGGTGTGTTTCAGCAAGAAACAATGAGTTGTTTTCAAAGAAATTGGTGTGTTTCAGCAGTTGATTGTCCTGTCCACCTGTTTTGCGGAAAAGCAACTAACAGAGAGAGACAGAATGGTTTCCAAAAGGTGTCAGACAAGGGGAGCATTTTCTATTCAATCTCTACACAGAACATATCATACATAAAGCCAGGCTATATTCAGATGAAGTAGGAGTGAAAATTGGGAGTTGTTTTCAAAGAAATTGGTGTGTTTCAGCAGTTGATTGTCCTGTCCACCTGTTTTGCGGAAAAGCAACTAACAGAGAGAGACAGAATGGTTTCCAAAAGGTGTCAGACAAGGGGAGCATTTTCTATTCAATCTCTACACAGAACATATCATACATAAAGCCAGGCTATATTCAGATGAAGTAGGAGTGAAAATTGGTTGAAGAAACATCGGTAACTTAAGATATGCATATGACATCATCTGTCTTACTGGCAGAAGGCAGCAATAACTTGAAACGACTTTTAGTGAACATGAAAAAAGGAAGTGCAAAGCAGGAGTGCCGCTGAACATTAAAAAGGCAAAAATCATGATTACAGAAAAACTACACAACTACAGAGCTTTTCTCTGGAAAAGACAATAATGTTGGGAAAGACTGAAGGCAGCAGGAAAACAGAAGGACCAAATATGACATGAACTGACTCCTATAAAAAGCAACAGGCTTAAGTTTGCAGGAGCTGAGCTGCACTGGGGAGGACAGGACATTTTAGAGATTGCTCCTTCAGAGGATCACCATAAAAACGGAGGTGACTTTAAGGCACTGAAAAAGAACAAGAAGGACATGAACAGACTCCTATAGAAAGCAAAGGCTTAAGTTTGCAGGAGTTGAGCTGCACTGGTGAGGACAGGACATTTTGGAGATTGCTCATTCAGAAGATCACCATAAAAACGGAGGTGCCTTTAAGGCACTGAAAAAGAACAAGAAGGAAACTATGGGTGATATCCCATGGTCAGAAATACTCAAAACAACAGGTAGCCCACAAAGGACAACACTTCTTAAGGACAAGGCACTGAAGGCACAATCACTATCAATAAGTAAGAGAAAGAAAGCAAAATCTGAAGAAGCTGGAACGGCTGCGCAAGGAACCTTCTGATAAGCTAACTTGTAAAACGAAGTGCATGAGAAATGTATAAAAAATGGAAATGGGGCAAATCACCAAGGAAGACCAAAGGCGTGTAGCCAATATGTATAGAAAGATGGTTAGAAAGAATGAATTGGAGACTGCTGGTTTGCATTGGCATGTAGTCAATGGAACGTAAGGCAAATCTAGCTATTCAAATTCCTGAGCATTTCCCACATTATTTGTCAATGTAGTTACTTCCGAAGAGAGAAGACAAAATTGCTGAACACCTACTTGGCTATCCAAATTCCTGAGCATTTCCCACAATGCAGTTGTCAATGTAGTTACTTCCGAAAAGAGAAGACAAAATTGCTGAACACCTACTTTGCCTCCATCTTACGTTAAAAGAAAAGTCCCCAGCCATGCAAAGTGGAATAAATGAGGATGTGAGGGGCTGCTGCCCAGGACCGATAATGGGATGATATGAAAACATCAAAACACTGTAAATGAATTCACGTCTCCAGGGCCACATGCACTGCATACATGGGTGCTAAGCACATTTGTTTTGAAATCTCAGACCCTCTGTCTATAATTTTTGAGAATTCTTGTAGAACAGATGAGACTGGAGGCAAATGCTTCCTCATTTTTAAAAAGAGGAAAAGTGGGGAGCCAGACAACTACTGACCAGTCAGCCTAACATCAAAAGGTACTAGAACGGAGGATGTGAGGGGATAATTAAGCAGTTGGTTTGCACTCACTCAGAAAAGAACACTGTGACTTCTTAAAAGTATGACATGTCAGACTAATCTCACCTCTTTTTGTGATAGTGTCACAAATTTGATAAGAGGAAGAGTATGCTGTGGACACAGTATATCTGGGTTTCAGCAGGGCTTTTCACAAGGTCCCCCTGATTATTCTTATGGCTCAGCTGGTCAAATGTGGACATGTAAATGTACCTGGTTGACAGGCCTTAGCCAAAAAGTGTTCACTACAAAAGTCAGACTAATCTCACCTCTTTTTGTGATAGTGTCACAAATTTGATAAGAGGAAGAGTATGCTGTGGACACAGTATATCTGGGTTTCAGCAGGGCTTTTCACAAGGTCCCCCTGATTATTCTTATGGCTCAGCTGGTCAAATGTGGACATGTAAATGTACCTGGTTGACAGGCCTTAGCCAAAAAGTGTTCACTAATGGTTCCTTTTCACCATGGATAGAAGTGACTTGTGGGGTGCCACATAGCTCTATTCTAGGCCTTGTGCCGTTCCACATTTTCATACATGACTTTGATGAGGATCTGGAAGAATGCTCATTAAATCTGCAGATGACAGATAACTGGAAAGGGTAGTTACCGTATTTTTGCACCATAAGATGCACTTTCCCCCACAAAACAGGGGGGTGGAAAGTCTGTGAGTCTTATGGAGCAAAGAAAACAGATTTTATTTTCCTGTTTTCTTCTCCTAAAAAATTGGTGCGTCTTATGGAAAGGTGCGTCTTATGGAGCGAAAAATACGGTAATACTTCATAAGGTAAAATTAGGATTCAAGAACATCTTAAAATGGAACATGGGAACCACAGGATTCTAAGTCTCTGTATTGGCCAATATTTTTACAGATGACTTGAATGAGGATGTGGATGGAATGCTTGTTAAATTTGCAGATGACACCAAACTTGGAGGGGTAGCTAATGTTTCAAAAGAATGAACTTGATAGATTGGAGAACTGGGTGAAAAGAAACAAAATGAGTTTGAACAAGGCCTCAACTCAGATGGAAAAAAAAATAGAAGACAGCTGGCTTGGTGGCTGTACTTGTGAAATGAATATTGGTGTCTTAGTAGTCCACAAGCTAAGCATGAGTTAATAGTGTGATACAGCAGCAAGAAAAGAGGCCAATTCTATACTAGGCTGCATTAACACAAGTATAGATCAAGGGAAGTAGTAACACAATGCTACTCTGTTTCAGTCAGATCTCACCTGGAATGCTGTGTCCAGTTCTGGGTACCCAAGTCTAATAAGAATACTGAGAAGCTGGAATGTGTCCACAGCTGGGTAAACAAGATAGTAAAGGGTCGGGAACCAAGCTCAAAGAAGATCAGTTGAGGGAATTAAGTATACTTAGCATATACATCTGAAAGTTCCCAATGCAGCCATCCCAGTATCTTTAGTTGCCTCCAAAATATTTTCCTCCTAGGAATTGTTTGTGATTGTGGCTTCAGCCCTTTTTTTTAAAAAAAAAACAACACAAAATTTATTGTGAACCAGATCTTTGAGTGTTTGTGGCCACAAGATCTCACCAAGGACTCTTAGGATCATTAAAATCAGGGTGGTTTTTTTAAGTCCCAGAGGCATAGTGCATTCTTCTCAGAGGACTCTTAGGATCATTGAAATCAGGGTGTGTCTTTTTTTTTAAAGTCCCAGAGGCATAGTGCATTCTTCTCGGCTTTCCTTTCCCTCAATAATAATAATAATAATAATAATAAT